ACCACCACCACCACCACCACCCTGGCGCGTACGTTCACCTGTGCTTGGTCGCATTTGCTTGTCTTGCTGCGGATAGCGCTAGCTGAAAGCCGCTCTTGTGGCGATGTGCGGGGATACTTGTTTCTGAGACGCGACTCCTCAAAAATGCAACGTTCCAGAACGGGCCCTTGTGCTGCGACTAGTGTGATATGCTTGGAAGGTCCGTGGAATCTGCAAAGAGAGCGAAGGGGCGCGACTTCTGTTGTTTGCAGGAACATGAGTAGTGCCAATCCCATCTTGAACCTGCAGGCGATGTGCATTTTCACGCCCAGCGTCTCCACGATCCCTCTGATGGCCAACCGACCTTCCAGAGTTTGAGTTGCATGCATCTATCAGTTATTTGATGTTGTAGTTGGCCAGGCTGTCAAATCTGATGGAGGTTTTGGTTATGCCGCGTCCTTGCGAGATTGGGATAGTCTCCATCCATTCAGAGACCGGCGCAGTCTCCAAGCACAATTCGGATCTTCTGAGGACTCGACAGATCTGGCCGCCGTTTATCATCGGCTTTTTGTGATGAGGGCTGACTGGCTCGCCCCCTACTTGAACTTCTTGTGAAGGGGGAAAAGCAAGCAACATGCCGAGCAACTGTCAGGGTCATCTATGTGACTGACCTGGGGCAGGCTGTCTCTCAGCTTCCGTCTCCAAAAGTGCTCAAGCTGAAGACAATGCCGCGTACTGTCAGGAGCAACACTTTCACATGATATTTGATGCTGCCAGACAGGCGCAGCTGTGGGGCAAACTCGTGCAATCAGATTGTTGGGAGCATGTCTGCTGTACATAACTTGGTTGTTTTCGCACTCCTGGCAGATTAGCTGATTCTGCTACAGTGATATTTGTTAAATAAGTGGAGGGCGGCCAACCCCAACTTGTCCTGTTTAGGCGTTCGGGATTAGCCACGCCCCTCCGGTCATCCCCCGCCAGCCACACCCTCCTCCAGCCGCACCCTTTTCCAGCGACAGCTCCCTCCAGCCGCGCCCCACGGAGATTGACGTGGCTGGGCTGGGTGGAAGGCTGGAGGACCGCTGAACGTCCATCTGCTGCTTGCAAGCGCGCCCAGGCTCTCAATTGTTTACATGCCCCAGTTTTTGTCCAGGCTTGCCGCCTCCCAACAGGTGCCAGCCTCTGCCTTTTCGGGCGCCTTTCCGCTGGCAGCCTCCCAGACCCCATTTGAATGTGGAGAAGCTGGCGCAGGATGTTCGTGGTCTCGCTGGTCCCATCCCTTTAGAAGGAACTCTTTGCGCTGCTTCGCGTTTGCTGCTCTGCGAGGCAACGGAGGCTTCTGCCTCCACACTTCTACTTCTCCCTCTTCCATCAGGGGCACTGCTAGATTCCAAGGCTAAGGCTAAGGTACCGCACTTCAGGGTTTTCGGCTGCAGCCACCAGCCACTCCCTGAACTCGGGACTGACTGGCCGCCTAATCCCTCGCCAGAGCTTACACCCTTCTGAGCCATTTGCGTGCTCTCCTTCAACTTCGCCGCTCAAATTGCGCTCCTTATCTGTTGTGATAGCAGGCTTGGTAGGTGGTATCGACTCAAAATGTTTAGCCACCGCCCAACCTTCCACGTGGAAATGACAGGTCTATAGGTCCATAGTACAGGCATCTTTGTCTACGCTATGGACAGCGCGTTGCTTAATCCTCCTCAGATTACCCGCATGAATGCTAGAATCTTAAGGGCAGGTGTAGAACGGAATTTAAGTCTTCGCCCTGTGCTCCAACGACTTTCCGGTCATACAGCTTTCACCACCAGACGCCTCATTACCCCAGGGCCAGCTTTATTCCCAATTCCCAACGCCGGATGCAGCTGCTAGGTCATGCTATGCGATACCCTGATTCTTTTTGAACATCAATCTACGTTTATGTCTTCTGGAGCTTACAGATTCACTAGGCCGAATGGCACTGGCCGCCCCAAAATTCATTGGGCAGAGTCGTGCATGGTGGAAGCCTACAACAGGATTGATCACCTCCAATTTGATGATGCTCCAAGACATGGGGATATACAAGATTCTATAAAGTTCTTTTTACCACAGTCCCTCTCCAGCAGCAAGTGAAAGATTCACATGGCTCCAGGAATACCGTCTAGATGGGCAACACGCTCCTTCATCGCAAGGATAGAAACCAAATGGAACCAAGCCAATGACAGACGACAATGGGCAGCCCTGCCGAATAAACCCCCAAAACCTGAACGAGAAGGCATTGAAAGCAGTCGGCAATGGTTGGTGCGGAGAAGGGACCCGCGTCCTGTTGCTCAGCTGCAGCCTTATTTGCTCAAATCCATTGATATCCATTGGGGGCTGCTGCGCCCAGTGCTCCTTGGGCAACTTCACGCGCGTCCGCCTTGGCTAGCCCTGAACGGGTTGCTTCCCTTTCTTTCGCAAATGGATTGCCGGAGAGGTTCGGATCTTATGTCTCAACAAGGAGAACGCTGCTTGACTTGCCCAGGCTTCCAGAGCCAGATCGCCTAGTTAATGATGTCATTCTTCACCTGGAAACACGAATGACTTTGTGGAGACGTTTGTTCCAACCGCGCTCCCAGGCGTGGCTCACGCTCAAGTGGAGCACTGTTTCTCAAAATCATTTGCCAAACTCGATGTAGCCCAATGCTGATGCCCCTCATCACTCGCAGACAAACGGTCTTTGGTGAGTCCTGCGTACCCATCCCCACATGGAATCAGCTCAATCACCCCGACAACTGCTTCACCTGAAGGATTCTGTGAATGATCGTAGGTCGCATAGCGAAGGAGCCTGCCTGCTTCTTGAACCCCCGCTACATATGGTCTGTATGCGATCGACATCATCGAGCGCAAGCCCGCAATTCAGTTCGTGCCTTGAAGCAATCATCTAGACCAATCTAGACCAGATTCACAAGCAAGAGCGTTCCGATCCTGCTCTTCGTAGCTTGTGTCAAGAAGCTGTCGCTTGAATCCTTGCAGCAAAGCCTGACGCGCCTCCTGGGACAAAACATTCGCCCTCCTGTGATCCGCCATCACGCCCACTGCGAGCACTACATGGCTTACGTAAAGAACCTAAAAAGCTCGATATGTCATTGGCGGCGGCGCATATCTGGAGCTGCATTTGTGTGCATGTCCAAGCCACAACAGCATGACACATGTTTCAGTGCGTTGACCGTTGTAATCTAAGTGCTAGCTTCCTGTCATCGCGTCAAGCCATAGCAAGGGATAGGGTATTGTTTTCCGTATTTTTTGTATTTTCCGTAGTTTTGTGGTTTTCATGGGTTTGTTCGGGGAGAAAGACAGAAAAAGAAAGCCAGAAGAAAGAGAGAATGGAAAGAACCAGAAACAGGAAGAAACAGAGGAGGGAAAGAGGAAAGATTTGTGTAATCAGTGTAGGCTTTTCAGGCGGGGAATGGGGTATCAAACTGGGTTCTTCGAACTTCGGACCTCCGGGGTACGCGACTGGACAACGGTGCGCATTGAGCGCGGGGCAGTGCCCCGGGGGGAGGGCAGCCTCCCCTAGCGCTGGCAGAAGAAGAAGAAAGAAAGGAAAGAAAGGAGACAAAAAGAACGAGAAGAAAGAAAGAAAAGAAAGATCCTAAGGAAAGGATATAGCCAGATAACGAAAGAAAGAACGAAGGAAAGAAGGACCGTAGGCCTGAGAGGGGAACAGAGGAGTTTCTGACGGGAACTCAGAGCATCTCAGAGCCTTTCGGCAGGTTTTTACGTGATAATTCATGGGTCTACTCGCCGCCATAGCAGTCTTCGCTCAGCGCGAGACATGCATCTGCCGGAGGGGGAGAGGCAATGCGAAACCCATCTACGTAGACCAAGAAGAGCAGCTACACAACTGCGTTGGGGGAATCTTCGATAGCGATGGTGGAGCCGATGGGAGCCCCCGCAAGAAAGCTAGAGGTCGGGAACCCTGTCCCTAGAAGACTTGCAGACGGCCTTGGCCTCGCTTATGCAGCTACTCAAGGGATTTGAATGAAGAATCAATTCCGTGGAGACGCATGTCACTAGGAAAAGCTTGACCACACCCTGGACTTGGTCGATACGTCGGTCTTGCGTCGCAAAGAACAGGGAGAGCGCATCAACCGCCCGACTGACACGCTCCAAGAACAGGGAGGGAAACAACAAGAACAAGAAGAGAACGTTCAAGGCATAAGGGGAGGACTCGATGCGCTGAAATAGGAGGGAGTGGCGCATGTACGGAAACCATCTGCAGCAGGACCGGAAAGGGAAGAGAGAGCCCCAGTTATGATACTTGGAGGATGGGGAGATGAGCAGGAATCGGAAATCACCGTGTGCAAGACATGTTCGCCCCGGGAGTGAGAAGGGGATACTGCATCATTCCGATGAAGCCTAAAGCAGGGCAAAGCCTGCGCGAGATGTTTGCCAAAAGTCGATGAAGATCATTGCGGCAGCCTGCGCTATGAAGGAGGAAACTGGTGCCGTGGATGGTGTAAGAGTGTCTTTTAAACGTCCAAGAAAGCATGTCATCCAATCAAATGGTGGCATTGCGCCCCCCCGAAGCCCCCTTTATTGAAGCCGCGCAGCTGACTTCAAAAGGGACTAGTCCCATTATCGGGCCGGCAGGAGGTTGCCTCCAAGAGTTTCTCTTCGAAAAGTTCAAGCAGGCAGCATGTCATGCAATCATTATGTTTGCAATTGGGGGGGCGTTGCGCCCCCCCCAACCCACCCCCTTTTCAAGCCGCGAAAGCTGACACCAAGAGAGTCCCGACCCTCCTCAATTGCAATCGCGCCTCGCGTAAAAGCCTCGCGCCATCATAGCGTTGGTAGGGGCCTGCCTTTAAAAGTTGTAAAAGTTCAGCATGTCATCCAATCATTACGTTCCCGCAATTCCGAGCCCCCTAAATCTCAAGCTTTCTGCGGAAAGCATGCCCGAACAATTTTTCTAAGCTCAAAACAACCAAAAAAAACAAGGAAAAACAGCTGGAAGGCACCCCAAACAATGGGGACAGCATGCCCTCACAGCCACCACAACCAAAAAAACGTACGAAATAACATCGGAAAAATACCGAAAACACAAACTTGGCTCCAATAGGAAGGGACCACCCATTGCCTAATTTGGGTGGTGCTCATTTTGTGCTTAGATACATGCGCTCAGAATGCAAAGCGCGAGGGGCGTGTTTTTGCAGTCGTCTGTTTAGGATAGTTCAGTAGCAGCCTATTGGTTTGCCACGTTTGAGGTCGGCACTTTTCATGTTGGTACTTTCTTTGGGCAGGTTGACGGTAGTCGCCGCTACTGGGTCCTTGTTGTTTCGTGTGCCGAACCCAATGGCCCTGTGCCAAAACCACTGTGCCCTGCGGAACGGCTCATTTGCAAGTTTACAAGCATCGCTGTTGAAGGGCATACATTTGATACAAA